GACTCAATGTTCTGCACATTTAACATTGTGTTCCATATTACCCAACTGCCCCTTGGGACTATTGCACAATTTTACAACCCCATCTGCAGTGTTGGTGGCCTTTTCTCCCATACCCTGGTCACAGGTAGGCAGTTATGCACAAATGACCTATGCACTTAATTTTAAAAGTCAAATCAAACAAGTCTTTTAGGTCATCATCATTGTGTTGTGATATTGGTGAGTAAATCAGGGTCTTTGCATGGAGCTATATCCCCAGCCTCTTTGTTATTTTGAGACAGGGTCTTGATCCTTTCCCCAAGTGCTAGGATTACAGGTGTGTGCCAACATGCCTGGTTTATGTGAGGCTTGTGTATTTACTTAGCTGGTCGTAGACTGGATCTTACTATGTATTTCAGGCTGGGCTTGAAATGTGTGTGTAGACCAGGCTAGCCTGGAATTCATTTCAGTCTTCCTGCCTTGACCTTCCAGGTGCTGGGATTACAGGCTTGTATCACCATGCCTAGCAGCAAAAGGCTTTTAAAACAGCACAGATGTTGTGGCTGGGATTTCCACTTCCTGGAAAACACCTTGTTAAGCACTGAGCAGTTTCATATGTCTGCTATTGTATCTTCCAACAGTGTGCTGATCCATTCACCCCTAACTTTCCATTCAGACTGGCAGCAGCTGGCGCGGTGGTGTGTGTCTCTAATCCCAGCACTCTGAGAGGCCAAGGCAGGAGGATCACAAGTTTAAGTCTCACTTGGGCAATGTAGTAAGATCCTCTCAAAATAAAAATAAGAAGGGGTTGGGGGTTTAGCTCAGCGACACAAGCGCCTGCCTGGCAAGTGCGAAGGTCATGAGTTCGATCCTCAGTACTCCCCCAAAATAAATAACTATAAATATAAAAACGGCTGAGGATGTGGCTCAATATTAAAGGCCTTAGATTCAACCCCTAGTATAAACACAACACCAACACCACCACAACACAACACTGCAGTATAGGCTGCAAGTTGCCCAGCCTGCTCCTGTTTCCCTAGCCTTCCTGGCTTCCAAGCATGAAATGTCCCTAGTGTCACATAGTACTGGTGTCACCACCCCCCTCCCTGGTTTTCTCATTAGCAGTGGCTCCCTTTTCTTCTCATTCCTTCACTGTCCTAAAGTGAGTGAGGTCTGCAGATGGGCTGGAGATGAGTACAGCTCTTTAATTTGCTATATCTCAGCTAAAAGCCAAGATATTATACATCCCAGAAAAATAAAACTGCGCAGGACAAATAAGAAAGCAGTTAAACCCCTTCATTTTATTAATAAAGGGGCTGAGCACTGCACAGGCTGAGTATCGAATCCAAACCATTCTCCTGGCTTGTCACTCTGGCCACTTTCCCCAGCCCCATCTAATCCCCCAATGCCACAAGAATGATTTCAGAGCCAGCTGTGGTGGTGCACACCTGTAATCCCAGCACTCAAGTGGCTGAGGCAGGAGGGTTATCACAAATCTGAGACCAGCCAGGGCTATAAAATGAGCTCAGGGACAGCCTGAACTGCAGAGCAAGTTCTTATCTTAAAAAGACCCTCCTGAAAAAAAAGATTTCAGCCAGTGCAGTGGCACACACTCAAGAGGCTGAGGCAGAAGGATTGTGTGATATAAAGGCCAGCCTGGGCTATACAGTGAGTTCCAAGCCAGCCTGAACTACATAGGGAGATGGTCTCAAAAACCAACCAACCAAACAAACAACCCCCCCCCCACAAAGAAACAAAACAACAAAACAAAGAATAATACAAAGGAATGATTTCGGGTGTTTTTAACAGAAGCCACTGAAGCTGGCATGTGTGGGGTGGGCCTGGAGTCCATATTGTGTGGGCCAGGTGGAGCCTGACCCTCTGTTGCCCAGCCTCTCCACCTCAGCCCATCCCTAAAAACACTTTTTCTTTGGGGTGTTTTGAGACAAAGTCCACTATTAGTTCAGGTTAGCTTCAAACACATGGAGAGCCTCCTGCTTCATTGTTCTTTTTTTTTTTTTTCCTTTGAGACAAGGTCTTACTATTGTATGTATTGGGCTTGTCATTCGGCTAAAGGCTGATGAAGTCACAAACCCAAGGAGGTTAGGAAAGTTTTACTGGCAATAAGGAGAGGAGAACAGCTCCTGGGTTTCAGGAGGAACCTAACTGGGTCACCTTGTGGCCCCATAACTTAAAATTACTTATAGGCAAGCAGGGCACAGGAACTGCTTAACCATCTAATGGTCCCCCATCTTGGGGGTTTCTGCAAACTTAAAAAAAATAGCACAAGGCATGATGAACACCTGTCATTCCAGCACTTGGGAGGATGAGGCAGGACGATTGCTGTGAGGTTTTTTTTTTTTTTTTTTTTGTCTTTTTGAGACAGGGTTTCACTAAGCAGTTCAGGCTGACCTTGAGCTCACTATGTAGCTCATGCTGGTCTCAATTGTAGCCTCAGGATTGCCTGGACTATACAGTGAGACCCTGTCTCCAAACAAAAAACTGACCAATGGGAACTTGGGGTCTGGAGCCCAGTTCCTGTGAACAGTGTTCGCAGTAAACTGGGATCTTATTGGTTATTTTCCATTATAATTTCCTCAGAATCCTGAGGAGAGTGGGCTGTATTTCATATTATAGAAAAAGTTCATTGAATTTTAAATTCCTCAAAACTCAGGAGCTCAGAAGACATTCTTTAAGTGGTGCTCCCTTCCATGTTGACTAAAAACATTCAGCTGTCTATTCTTAATTTCCATTCATATGGCTGACATCCCCCTATCTCCAGCCCTTTCCTAGCCAGCTGCCTCTCTCATATGCTGTTTGAACTGTCTTCCATACTGTGTGGTCTGGGCTGATGTTTCTGCCTCAGCTTCCCAAGTGCTAGGATTACAGATGTGTGTTACTATACCTGCTACACTTACTGCATTCAACTAAACGTGACCCAAACACTCACAGTAAGGTCTGTCATCAGCTCCAGATGCCATGTTCTTGAGATATAGGCCTTTCAGGTGGAGGAAAAAGGAGCTATTTTCATGTGTCACAACATGAAAACTGGAATATATCAATAGAGCTGAGATTTGTTCATGCCCTATGCTTTCTAATTATTAACTTTTTTTTTTTTTTGAGGCAGGGCCTTCCTATGTAACCCAGGCTGGCTTTGAACATCCAGGGGTTCTTCTGCCTCGGGCACCCAAGTACCAGGGTCACAGACATGTGCCACCATGCCTGGCTTATTCTTTTTTTTTTGGTATGGGGGACTGAACTCATGACCTTGTCAGGCAGGTGCTTGTGCCACTGAGTGAAATCCCCAGCCCCTAAAAGAGGATTTTTTTCTTTTTAAAACAGGGTTTTGGGTTTTGCTATGCAATTCAGACTAGCCTTGAACTCACTTTGTAGCTCAGCTGGCCTCGAATTCACACGTCAATCCTCCTGCCTTAGCTGCCAGAGTGCTGGGGTTATCGGCATGTGCCACCATGCCGTGTTTAAAATTTGTTTATTGCAACTGTCCATAAGTCAGTCCACACATTAGACAAATACAGACACAGTGCTGCTGCATAGTGTCTTCTGCAAGCCTTAATTCTGAAAGCACCCATTCTTAATTCAATTAACCATGAATACTTGTGATGCCACAGTTCTTTGAGAGATGCACCACTGGGGCTTGAAGTCAGTGGTGTTCTACCAGTAAGCTATTCCCCAGCCTCCTTAAAATGTTTTGAGCCAGGACTTCACGAAATTGCCCAGGTTGGCCTCAAACCCTCATTCCTCCTGCCTCAACCTCCCTTGTAGCTGAGATTCTAGGATAGAGGAACACAGTTCAGCTCTCACATGACTTTCACACTCTATAGGGAGTCGCTGTGCAAAAGTCTGTGGAGCAGCCTCAAATTCTATATAGCTGAGGCTGGGCTTAGGCTCAGAATCCTCCTGCCTCATTCACCTAAGTGCTGGGATTATAGGCATGTGCCATGGGAAGTGTATGTTGCTGGCCAGGCCAGGGGAAGAATGTGGCAGTAGCAGTTTACAGTCCTGCAGGGGAGTCCCTACTGCTGTGTGTAAGGCTCACTTCTTCCAAGTCACCAGTACAGAGAGACTTCCCACCCTGGGAGGCTCCCTTCAGAGCAGGACATTGTGACACTGTGAATTTCCTGTGCTCTGGGAGCTCAGCACAACCTCTCTAGGACTGGTCACATTCCTTACTAAACTGTAGACCAGAACATTGTTAACTGTTTGGATTAAAACAGCTGGTGCGATTCAAGTGGGCTGGAAGGAGTTAGCTTGACTCCATGCCATGCTATCTTTCCAGTTACTGTAGCTCCTTGGGAGCCAGCATCCATTTTACCCTCCACCTTGGCGTGGTGGCCTCCACCTCTGCTCAAGAACAGCAGGGAGGGGGCTGGGGATTTAGCTCAGCGGCATAAGCGCCTGCCTTGTAAAGCAGGCAGTCGTGAGTTTGATCCCCGGTACTGATAAAAAGGAAAAAGAACAGCAGGGAAAGCTCGGTCAGCTTCACTCTGCGTTCCTGGATGTCAATGCCCTGTGACACATGCTGTGGCCTGGCTATCACGTAAGCCAGCCTGGTTCTCCTGCAGCTGGATGAGCACATGTACTTTTCTATGGGTCCAAATTAAAAATATGTATATCTTCCTTAGGAAAAAAATGTCTTGGCTTCATTTCCCTTTATGAAATAAAGGCCACTGAAAAATGGGAAAAGTTTGGGAGGCAAATGCTTAGGGAGTTTCTAACATGAAACCACCATGGTTTTGTCTTTTGTTTTGTCTTTTTGAGACAGTGTCTCTATGCAGTTTGGGCTGGCCTTGAGCTCACTTTATAGCCCAGGTTGATTTCAAACTCACAACGATCCTCCTGCCTCAGCCTCCTGGATGTCGGGAGTACAGTTGTGTACTACCACACTTGGCCAACCACCGTGTTCTGGAAGAACAACTGGAAAGGCATGAACTCACGCCTGCTGAGGTAGCAGAGGACAAGTACTAATTGGAAAGGTCCCAGGTCACACTCAGGGGACACAGAGCTAGCAAGACTGGCAGTTTAATTAAGACAAAGCTGAAACATTGATACATAGGGATCATGAAAACAAGAAAGGGTTAGGGTACACAGGGTTCCCAAGATCACTGAGACAAAAGGAACAGAAGGCCCCACTTGCCACAAAATCCATCATGTCACATTTGTGGTCTAGTTTAAAAAAATAAGCAATGAAAGAATGAATGAAAGATATATGACCCTAGGGGAGAACAGTTTTTACAGATATCTGTATATAACAACCTTTTGTTTTTCCTGTGACTCATACCCAGGGCCTCGAGCACACAATGCTCTAGTATGGGGTGACATCCGGGTGTGCATGGCATTATTCACTGTCAAACTTTGCTCACTGTGGCATTCTGATCAACTTCATTTATTTACTTTTTTTTTTTTTTTTTTTTGGTACCAGGGATCGAACTCACGACCTCATGCTTGTCAGGCAGGCGCTTATGCCGCTGAGCTAAATCCCTGACCCCTTGTTGTTGTTTTTTGAGACAGGGTCTTGCTATGTAGTTCAGGCTGGCCTCAAACTCATAATGATCTACCTGCCTCAGCTCCTCGAGTACTAGGATTACAGATGGGAGCCACCATCCCTGGCTGGTATCTCTAATCAACTTCATTATCTTACCTGTTGCCTTTCAGATGAGACTTTAGGAAAAAAACTAGCAAGAAAACAGTTCTAAAAGTACTTCCTCTTCAATTCTTTGGTATAATTTGATCATTCTGATGATAATCTATTCAGTAAGAACTTTAACATCCAGGTATCAACAACAATACAGTGAGGAACACAAATGTTTACAGAATAGTAAGTGAAGAAGAAATAGTATTTTTGATCTTGTGGAAAACAGAACTCTTAAAAATTTTACCTGTTTCTGTGGTAAAAATATCTATACTGCCTAAAAGAACAACTCTACTGAGATTTATATCAAGGAAATTGTTACATCAACCTCCCCTTTCATGATTATTAGAATAACTGTTCTATGTACTTTTTTTAAGTAGAAGAGGCAAGTTTCAGCTTGAACAAAAGAATTTTTGAGTGTTCTGATTGCGTGTCAACACCAAGATTCCACGTTAGTACATGGAATGGCAAGGCTTATCCGTTTATTGCAGGAGACAGCTAGTTTGTTTCCTGAAGCATTTTTTCTATTTCTTTATCCCAGTTCTCATCCCGCTTATCCGATTCTGTGACCACTTCGTATTCCTGAAGCTCCTGCTGCAGTTCTTTTTCCCAATCAGCGGAATCTTCTACAAGAAACGAAGGGGAAAGATGAGAAAGATATGCTCTGAATCATAATGCGCTGTTAACAATTCAATCTTTTTTGGTTTGTCTTTGGGACAGGGTCTCACTGTGCAGTTCAGATGGGCCCTGAACTCACTATGTAGTCCAGGCTGGCCTTGAACTCCCAGCAATCCTCCTGCCCCAGCTTCCATAGTGCTGGAATTACAGGCGTGCACCACCACTGCCAGCTGAGCTTTACTTTTTAAATAGCCAGTCTGGCGAAGTGTGGTAGTACATACCTGTAATCCTAGAACTGGGCTACACAGTGAGTTCAAAGCCAGCCTGAATTACAGAGTGAGACTCTGACTCAAAACCAAACACACAAAAAAAAGGAAGTGAACACAGGCTGAAAATGTAGCTTAGTGCTCAGCACGCACCAGGCCCTGGTTCCCATCCCTATCATGGTGCGTGCATGTGTGCTATGTGCATAAACAAACCTTAAGCTTAGTAGCTACTAAAAAAAGCAAAACCAAAATGCTGTAATTTTGTCACAGCAGTGGGCATAAGAACAGGCACTGTGTTAGAAATGCCTGTCTCACAAATGCTTAGTATTGGTAGAAGCTTTGCAGAGTGTTAGACTCCATGTAGGGTGCTGTAGAGAGAGACAGATGAGGTGTAACTGTCCTGGGGGAGTCCGTTTATGTGGTTGAGGATCACGGTACACAATATATAAAAGAATATGACAGTGGCACAGTAGTGTACATTTGTAAGCCTAGCACTCTGGTAGGCTGAGGCAGGAGTATTCCAGGTTCAGACTCAACCTGGGTAACTTAGCAACTCAAAGTCTCAAAAAGGAGGTGGGGCACAGCAGCTGGGGTGCAGCTTAGGGAGCAGGTCCCCTTTCAATCCCCAGTACTCAAAAAAAAAAACAAAACAAAACGAAACAAAAAACACAAACAAGAATAGGAAGTGGTTTGAATTATAACTCAGATAAAGAACCCACCCCCTGGAACAGCCAGTCAATGCCATAAAGTCCCAGCCTTACCCACCCTGTCTCCCCAGGGGCTGTGACTAGTGTGCCACCAGTAAACATAACACGAGTGTGAAGGTCGCTTCATCAGTGCCTTTAGTCCAGGGGCTCCATCCCCGCCCTGTCTAGCTCAGCTCTGTCCTCCCAGAGGTGACAGTGGGCATGCCCAGCAGGCTGCTCTGGTGGCTCCCGCTGGCACTCCATGTGAATGTGGGGACAGCCGGCTCCCTGGATGCGTGGTGTGTCCAAGGAGGCCACAGGGAACGCCTCATCTGAAGGTGACTCATGCAACCCCTGCTTTCCACCCAGGAGAAACCATTAACTCGGCCCGCCAGCCAGAAAAAACAGGCCTCTCCAGCCAGAAGCTGGTTTTTCACACACAGCAGCAGGGACAGAAGCTTCCAGATGCGTCTACACCACACGGGGTGCCTGTTGGTCAGCAGAAAGCTGGAGCCTTGTGCACTCCCTGCTCCCATTCCTGCCCCAGATCCTGGAGCAATTGTTTCTCGCCTGTCCCCTCTATACCAGGGGTTCTGCAGTAGAGCTCTGAACCCTGCTGCACTCCTAATCCCACTTCCCATGGGAGGCCTGTGGAGCCCAACTCTAGGGGAAAGGGAATGTTTTGTAAGGGGTTTTGCAGTGCTGGGGCTGGATTCCAGGACTCACATATGCTAGTTTCTACCAGTTACCCCATCCCTTGTTCCTGCAGACTTCAATGCGCTTTATTTGCAATTCCGTACTCAGGACAGCCAGTCTTAATGAAAAATGATAGAGTGCCCCAAGGAATCAACTCCTCCCAGTACCAGAGATTGAATCCAGGGTCCCCAGTCCTTTTCCTTTTATGTTTCATTTTGACACAGGGTCTAAATTGCTCAGGCTGGGCTCAAACTTTTGATCATCCTGCCTCAGCCTCCAGAGTGCTGGGACTGCAGGTGTATATCACTATGCCTAGCTTCCAGAGTCAATTCTGATGCAAAATTTACAAAGTATTTTTATAAATAGGCTTTCTAATATTTTACGCAATCGACTCTGAAACTAGGGAGAAGAACCCCAAAGGTTTTGGTTTGTTACCTTCCAGGACAGCTGTCTCCTCTTCCTTTTTGTCGAGCACAAGTTGCTCCATTTCTTTCCTTAAGTCCTCTTGATTTAAGTTACAGGCATCAAAAGCATCACTGACAAACTCAGAAACTCCTGGGCTTGTTGAAATTTCTTCCTCATCCTGAAAGGCAGCAAGAGCTCCTGAGATGGTTCTCTAAGTGACATTTTCTAAAAAGGCTGCCTCACAATCTCATAATTTATGCCTCACTTTTTTTCTCTGCCCTGCTAGCTGTGAGTCAGCGAGCATTGCTTCTCTACCTGCTAACCTGTACCGTTGCCTGGTAACTGAGTGATTACCACTGGGCTGCACTTCCTCCCCCACAGTCTGGACCACTCTGTCCCACCCCTGAGGAGCACATCTGGCATTATTCATGCTGGAAATGGCCCTGGGTCCCAGCTGCAAGTCTCTGGTTACTCAACTGGTGGTCTCCAGAAGACCCATTTGCTTGACTGTGTTTTTTTCTGGTGGTACCAGGAATTGAATTCAGGACCTTCTGCTTTCCAGGCAGGCGCTGCACCACTGAGTCATATCCCTGGCCCTTCATGAGTGGTTTTCAATTGCGGCAGAGATTTTGTGGGGGAGGGGTACCAGGAATTGACCTCAGGACCTCAGGCAAGCCCTGTGGCAGAGATTGTTAACCCAATGTCGTGGTTCGGATCTGGCCTGTCCCCAGACTACCCTAGTGTTCCAAGCCGGGGCTTCTCAAAGGTCGCTGGCTCATTGGGGCGCTGTACTTATCCCTGGACTCTTCTAGGGTTGAGCAGATAGCTGAATGGCTAGGAGGCGGGGCCCGGTTGGAAGGGGCGGATCCCAGGAGGGTCTCCCTCTCTGGCCCCTCCCTCCTCTCTGCTTCCTGCTACACCCTTCCACCAGGCTTCTGCCTAGGAGCAGGCAGACTGTGGACTGAAACCTCTAAAAAAACGTGAGTCAAAATAAACCTCTCCTCCTTTAAATTGTAGGAGTTGGGGATTGTGTCCCAGGAATGAGAAAGTGACTCAGACACTGTTATTCACCTCCAGACCAACAACTAGGTACAACGGAAAACTGTATTACCTCTTGAGTTTTAAGCTGAGATTTGATTACGACAGGTGGCGTTTTGGGCCGTACTGCCTCTAAGAAGTGAGAATAAGAGAGACAATAATTGCTTGCTTCAGTTCCGAATACATATTACAGTAATAGCTAACATAGCTCTACAAGTTTGATGATACCAAATACTTTTAAGAAATGAGCTTTTATAGTCTGCTTTTAGCTTTTCTCATGTTATTACAAGAGCTAGCCATGTGGACCCATCTGAACCGCTCAGTTTTAGGGATATTTTAAAGATGTTACCATATTCAATACCCTTTATATAAAATTTCTAGCAGGAAATAATTTTGGCCTTCAGTGTTAGCTAAACTCATTCTGCTCTTTTTTGAGATGATGAGAATGATGCAATCTGGGAAGTTTCCCTGTTGTTTGGAAAGCCGGAGGGCACAAAGCAACATGCAGTGTTCAGTCACAATCATCTCTTTGCTCAGCGACTTTGTCCGCTTTCCTTTTTTCTTTCTGGTACTAGGAATGAGACCCAGGGTCTTTATACTGAGTTACACCCCCAGCCCATTATTTATTTTTATTTCGAGACAAGTTCTTGCTAAGTTGTCTAGGGTAGTTTTGAATGTATGACCTTCCTGCTTCAGCCTTCCAGAGTGCTGGGATTACAGGTGTGCCTCCCCACACCTGTCATCATTTTCAGTTTTATTTACCTTATCCTAATAGTTTTTGTGAAAACCACCTTATATCCATCTTGTTTTGTTTAACAGGCAGCATTTGGTAAAATGGGATTTTCCAAAAAAAATCTAAAGAATGCTGAAGAAATCTAGGCATAGTGGCACATGCCTTTAATTCCAGCCTTGGGAGGCTCAGGCAGGAAGATCTTTGCAAATTCAATACCAGCCTGGGCTACAAAGTGAGCTCAAGGCCAGCCTGAACTGCATAGAGACACCCTGAGACAAAAAAGAAAAAAAAGACTGCGGAAGAATGGCAGACTATGGGGATGTATATCACATTTATGTGCAAAATGACAAATTTTGTTGTGCAAAGCAACTTCACTGTATTTCCCTAATCCCTGTTTAGCTTCAGAGCCTTTTCCTGAAGTCTAGAGAGCTGGTGCTTTGGGACACACTCTTGCGGAAGCTCCCAGGCTTCTATGAGCTACACCACTCTGCTCTGTGCAGGATGAACGCCCACTGGTAGTCAGTACCTACCTACATGAAGCAGGCCTCACTAAGACAAAGGTGACACAAAACGCATTCCTCATGTTAATCAGCATTCCAGAGAACGAGCAGTTGCTAATAGGCTAAAACATTTTCTCTACTTCCAGGGCCAATGTGTCACAGTAAGAAAGACCAGCCTAACAGAGTATGCCCAGCTCAGTGCTCGATATGGGTTTCCTTGCCCTGCAGACCACATATGCCCAGGAAGCCAGGTGGAATGAAAGGGCAAGAAACAGAGGAGGCGATGGCATCAGAGTGTAGGATTGAAGGGAGACATCACCCAGGACAGCAGGAAATGTGGGTTTACAAACTGTGGAGAACTACTCTGCCATAAAGAAGGATAAACTTAAGCTATCTGTACAAAAATGGATGCACCTTGAGACTATAATGTTAAGTGAAATGAATCAGAACCACAAACTTAAATCACATGACTTCTTCTATGAGAAACCCAATACACTGTATAAATAAACAGTAAAATAAAAGACAATAATTCAGGAAAACTCAGGGAAAAAAAGAAAAAAGAAATAAATAAAAGACAATAGAACACAGGGAGATAGGGCTCTTACAAGTGGGAAGGGGACCAAGAGATATGGCGGGCGGGAGGATAATAAGAATTAAGATGTGCTAAGTTCAAGCATCTACTCCCTATGTTTACATCCTTCATAGTGCAATAAACACGTTACAGTAAAAACTAGAGAGACAGATAAAGAGAAGAGGCCTAGGCCTGCTACTCAAGAGGAAAAGAAAAAGAAAAAATGAAAAGCAGCGAGAAAAAGACAAAAAAAAAAAAGAGAGAGAGAGAAGACCTCAAAGGGAAGGGAAGAGCGCAAGAGCGAGAGAAAGGCGAGAGGAAGGCGTGCGGCAGTGGGGCCACTGTGCACCGGGCGCCGAGCTCGCTGGCGCCCCCGCGGGCGCAGGCCGGGAAGGTACCTGTCAGCGGCGACTTGGCACTCATGCTGCCTTTCTTGTCCTCCTTGCCTGAGGCCTGCTGCGCGGCCAGGGCGGTGAGCTGGGCTGACTGCTTGATCAGGGACACGCGATAGAAGTAGTTTCTCCAGAACACCTCCTCCTTCACGCTGGGGAAGACACACAAGGACATGCCGCGTGAGAAGGCACACTGCTGTGCGGGAATGGGACCCAGGCCTGGCATGGCTAGCCTAGGTGCTCTCTGGCAGAGCTACACTCAGGCCTCAGGAGCAGATGGTTGTTAGCTTTTCTTTTTTGGGTTTTCTGAAGACACCACCTCACTATGTAGCTCTTGCTGATGGGGAACTCGAAGAGATCCTCCTGGGTGCTGGGATTACAGGTGTGCCACACCACACCCACTTTAGGAGTCCCAAACTTTCAATTTCCAGGGTGGTTCAGAGAGTCTCACTGGCTTTATAAGTGAAAGGCCAAACAGAACAACTGTATTTTTTTCCACAGCAGCAACAGACAAGTCACAGCACCAGCGACACCTCGGTATTTAGTCTTTTTTCTTCTCCTGTGCTGGGAATCAAACTCAGGGCCTCGCCTTTGCCAGGCAGTTGCTACAGTGCTGAGCTCCATCTCTGGCCCCAAGTCACAGTACTTTAGTGACACCAGCATTGCCCTCGGCAGAAGAGCACTGTCGTGAGGCAGGGCTATCAACCCGGGGGACCAGAAGCAGGGCCAGAGCCCCCCAGGTCCTTTGGTGTTTCTGGGAGGGTTACATGCACCTAGAGCAGGTGAACGAACATGGAGAGGCTCATCCCCTGAGAAAGAACACATGCAGGGTGCCACTTTGCAGCAGCACTGAACTGGCTGGGAGTGGGAGATGGCTGGGGACATACTGGTTTTGGCAGTGTTGTGATGGAACCCAGGGTCTCAAGCTCTAGGTAAGCACCTAGCTACACCCCCAGCCCTGTGGGAGATGTTGCCTGGGTTCAATGCTCTGGACCGCAATCTTCCCCCAAAAGGTGACGTGTCCTTGTCCTTCTCAGGAGACAGCCAGCTGCAGCTGCCTACCTAAGTACCCTCAGGGCCATTTTGCATTCTAGGCTATCAGAACATGTCCTGAGACAACCAACAGGAGCCTTGGGTGCACTACACTGCCACGGTGACTTGGGGGCACTGTCTGCTCCCTCCATTTACACAAACCATCATTCAGGCTGTTTTCCTTTCCAAACAGGTTTTCTAGAAGTGAAAGGAAGTGGCTGCAGGCATACTGAGGGCTCTCATGCTCTCCTTTGGAAAAGTCACAATGCAGGTGACTCTGTGGGCTGAGGAGCCCTGGGGGAGAAGTAACTCAAGTTCTTCATGTTGATCTGATGACTTCCACTCATGGGCGTATCTGAAGGCCTCGGCATCCAGAGCACCCCTGGGGACCCTGGGCGATCAAGGACATGATGTGCAATTGATTCTCTGTCCTCGGCCCTTGGCCTCAGAGGTGCTTGTGCCTGTGCCATGCCAGCAGGGCTGTGCTCTGTGGCTGAGGAGATTCAGAGGAAGTGCTTTGTTTCCTACAGTTCTCAGAAAATGCTGCTTTTTGTTCACACAGAGTAGCTCAAATGATCAAAGGTGCACATTAGTATGCGAGGAGGGAAAGTCCAGAAGTCCAGAGTCCTATATTTCTGCATGATCAACAATTTTTTTCTCTTTTTGAGACAGGGTTTCATTATGCAGTTCCGGCTGTCCTTGAGCTCACTTTGTAGCCCAGGCTGGCCTCCAACTTGAAGTGATGATCCTCCTGACTCAGTCTCCCAAATGCTGGGATTACAAGTAGGCACTACTATGCCTGGCAATATTTGGGGGGGGATGGGGATTGAAACAGTTGAGCCAAAATGGGCATGCTGGTGCACACCTGTAATCCCAGCACTCAGGAGGCTGAGGCAGGAGGATCCTTGTTAATTTGAGACCAGCCTGGACTACAAAGTGAGGTCAAGGCTATCCTGAACTGCATAATGAGACCCTGTCTCAAAAAGAAACAGCTGAACCCAGGGCTCATACATGCTAGACAAGCACTCTACTCATGTGCCACATCCCCTACCCTCTGGGTTTTATTTTTTTGAGACAGGGTCTCTCTATGTTTCCCAGACTGGTCTCAAACTTATGGTGATCCTTCTGCCTCAGCCTCCCAAGTGCTAGTATTACAGGTACACACTACCATATGTTTTGGGGGGTTTTTAACCTAGGGTTTTTAAACCTAGGGTCTCATTAGTCACTAAATTTTCCAGACTGGGCTTAAACTTCAGATCCTCCTGCCTCAGCCACTTGAGTACACCACATTTGGCTTACTATGGAAAATGTTCAAAACATAAAAGCAAAAACACTAGAACCATGAACCCCACGTAACAGTGACTCAACTTCCACAATTACCAACATAGTTCTGTTCCCCATATGCCTGCTTTTCTTTGGGTAGGATTGGAATTTTTTTTTTTTTTTGAGACAGGGTCTTCCTATGTAGTTCTAGCTAGCTTTGAATTTGCTATGTAGCCAAGGCTGGCCTCAAACTCGTGGCAATCCTCCTGCCTCAGCCTCTTGATTATAGGCATGTACCATCATGCCTGATTTAGGGCTAGAACACTTTAAAGAGATGCCAGATATCACAGCCTTTGAATGATAATACTTTTTTTTTCCTAGACAAAGTTTCCCTATGTAGCCCAGGCTGGACTGGAAATTATGGCACTCTTCTAGGATGACAGGTATGTAACACCATGCATGGCATCATCCAAAATATTTCTGTAAGCATTTCTGACAGTGTGATAATCATAATTTCTAAAAACTCTAAGAAAATTAGTAGTCAGAAACTGGAACTATATTAAAAGTACATAGCCTGTGACAAACCAGAAACACTAATCACCAAATATCAATTATCCAAAGTTTTCAGAAATCTAAAAATTGCTGTCAGCAAAGAGAGAGAGAGAGAGAGAGAGAGAGAGAGAGAGAGAGAGAGAGAGAGAGAGAGAAGGTTGAGAAGAACAGTCAGAAACTGAAACTGTGACTGCCATATTCTTGGCAAGAACAGCCTGGGCCACAGGCCAACGACAACCCAGGTCTCCTGGTGGCCCTGACACACAATCCCAATATGGAGCTTGGTGACACTAGTGATCTTGGAGTTGATGGTGAAGCAACCCCATCAGGCCAGAGACTTGGTGCCCTTCCCTGGGGCTTGTCCACAGAATGGGCACCAATTCCAAGGGCTGCAACAGAGCTGCAGACAGACACACAGACACACATGCACAGACATACACATGTGCCTACCCATGAATTGTCAGGAGTCAATTCCTAGGGTTGTGGGAGCAAATACAATAAAAGAATACATGGTACATTTCTGTTTTCCTTTTGTAGCACTGGGAATAAAATCGGGGCCTTCTCACTGAGCTACCCCTCAGCTCTTTCTATTTTGAGCCAAGGTCTCAATTGCCCAGTCTGAAGTCAACTTGCAGTCCTCCTGTTTCGTCCACCAAAAGTAAAGGTCTTTTCTCCTAAAAAGGTAAAGGTTCCCACATGCTTTTACTTGGGAAGACACTGGGCAGTTGTGTGGTTCCACTGGCTAAAAGGAGCACAGCTCCTCCTGGCCCCATCAGCCCTGGCCACCTTGATGTACCTTCTCTGACACAGGGCACATTGCCAAGGCCTTGGGACTGGGATACCACTGCCGCACATGTGTGCACTTACAGTTTGGGAACCAGAGCAAAGCGCATCTTGCTCAGCAGCTCATCCTCTCGCAGCATGACCAAGGCGACAGGGTACATCTGATCAAAGTCGAAGTGAAACTGCACGCCCACTGGAGGGTCGCGAAGGAAATTCCTCTTGTCCTTTGATGAGCAGGGAGAAAGTCAGGGGAAGAACAAAAAGCAATTAACAGGTCACGATGTAGCTGAGCTGGGACAAGTCCTGGATTCCATGGCAACCTTCAGCTGAGAAGTACACAGAGCTACCGGCACCTGGATGCTAAGCAGGTTTCCTAACATTCATCGGATGCAGCCCAGGCCCCGACTGGCTCAGCAGACAATGTGAAGCCATGGAAGTATGCTCTGTATTAGTGGGCACCTTTACATACTGTAACACTGCAACTGTCTTAGTCAAGTGATGAAACACTCAGGAGTACCAAGCCCAAACTCTCTTTCCAGTCCCAAGGCATCAATACAGAGCCTTTGGACTAAGCTACATCCCCAATCCTTTTTGTACTTATTGTTTTTGAGACAGTGTCTCGCTAAGTCTAAGGCTGGTCTCACACGTGTGATCCTCCTGCTTCAACCTCCAAGAATGCTGGGATACAGGTTTATACCACCGCTCCTTGCTCTACTCCATTTCTAAATGTGCAGAGTATGCTTTTTTTTGGGGGGGGGGGCGGGTAGCTGGGGATTGAACTCATGACCTTGTGCTTGCCAGGCAGGCACTTATACTACTAAGCTAAATCCCTGGCCCAGAGTATGCTGTTGGTCCCACCTTGCAGACTTGGGCCAAGGCTCTGCCACAAACTCTGAGCTCGTCAAACTCAGTCCCTGGGCCTGTGGTGCGGACCAACACACAGTTCTGCTAAGAAAGCCTTGCTCAGACCTTGTCACTGTGGGCTGACTAACTTCACAGTGTTTCCAAGTTTTTCACAAGATCTTTATTATTTATTTATTTATTTTTTGAGATCGGTTCTCTATGCTGTTAAGGCTGGTCTTGAGCTTACTTTGTAGCTCAGGCTGGTCTTGAACTTGCAACAATCCTTCTGCCTCCCAAGTGCTGGGAATTCAGGCATATGCCACCATACCCGGCTCAATTTCTTTTGTTTTTTTGAGACAGGGACTCACTATGTAGTTTAGGCTGTAGTTGAACTCACTATTTAACCCAGACTGGCCTTGAATTCACAATGATCCTCCTGGCTCAGCCACCTGAATGCTGGGATTATATCATGCACCACCATGCCCAGATCACAATGCTTTCAACATTATGACTCCTGCAGGCTTCGTGCCTCCTGAAAGTTCACTCATCCATTAGGTGCTGGGGCTCAAACCTCAGGGTTTAGGTATGCTAAGCCTGCACCCTCTCCTGAGGCAGCACATCAGCCTCTTACTGCAAAGTTTCTGAGGCAAAAGGCATTGTGCTGGGAGGACTGCAGCAGCAGAGAGGAGAGGAACACAACCGGGCCCCTCTTATCTTCCCTTCCTCCACCAACTGTGACCATTTAAACACAATGCAATAATAGTAAGTGGATTCTTCTTTCTGCTGCTGAATGCAGGCTTAGGATACCTGCAACCATGTGTCACAGAATTCCCAATCCATTACATGGCTAACAAACCAACAAAAGGGTCAGTATATTAAAACTTTAACTCTCACCTGTAGACCTAGCACTTGGAATTTGTAGCAGTCTTTTTTTTTTTCTGGTACCGAGGATCAAACTCATGACCATGCGCTTGCTAGGTAGGTGCTTATGCCACTTAATTAAATCCCTTGCCCCAGCCTAGAACTCAGAGACTGAGGCAGGACAGATACCTTGAGCCCAAAAGTTTGAGACCAGCCTAGGCAACATAGCAAGACTGTCTCAACAAAACAAAACAAAAAGACAGTGCGGGGCCTGGTGGTGCATGCCTGTATTCCCAATCCCAGCATTCGGGAGGCTGAGGCAGGAGAATTGCCATGATTAAGAAGGCAGACTGGTCTACATAGTGAGTTCAAGGACAGCCTGAATGACATAGTCAGACTCTCTCAAAACACCAAAACAAAACAAAACAAAACAAAAAACCTGAAAGTAACATCACTTAATGAGAAAATTCCTAGAAGTAGAATTACTGTTGCAAGCGTATAATCATTGTGATGTAAAATGGCCAAATTCTCCTCTGGGTGGGGTCAAGGCATGGAATCAAGGAAAACACCTAAGTTTTAACTCAGAAAAACCAGCAAGGGTGGGGGATCGTTTAGTGAGAGGGCAAACTTAGTTTGCAGGAGCCCCTGGGTTCCATCTCCGATGTCAAAAGGGGGAGGAAGGAAAGAAAAAACAATCTGGATGACCACCGCTGATGGTGTAAAGGCCCAGCCACCAAGCCATGCATGCCTGGCACAATGCTGCTGCCAGTTTCTGGCCAGGTAGGGAGCAGGTAAGCAGTGATCACATCTCAGAGTCGAGGTCCTCTCACTTGGCTGTGTGGTGGGGACAGAGGCCCCAGGTCTCTGCTAACATGGAGGACAGAAAGTGTGAGAGTACTTTCTCACAGTGCTGGTGTCACACAATTACTCCCCAGTGTCACTGCAATCCTTCTGAAGTCTCGCGGGCTCAGACATGAGATTGCGCATCAGTTCTGGTTGCCAACAAATGCAGTTCTTTGCTGTTGTTTCCCTTCAGCCCTGAGGACTAAACTCAGGCCTTTGTGCTGAGCTACTTCCCAGTCCTTCTCAGGTTTCTAAATCCTTTGTTTTGTTTGGTTGTGGTTTTTTGCGGGGGAGGGGTTAGGGAGAGACAAGGTCTTACCATGCAGTGAAGGTACACTTTGAGCTCAGTGTAGCCCAGGCCAACCTCAAACTCTTGGTGACCCTCCTGCCTCAGCCTCCTAGGCTGCTGGGATTACAGGCATGCCCAGCAACCTGGTTTATTTTTGTTTTTTGAGACAGGGTCTTGCTATGTAGTTCAATTGGCCTTCACCTCATCATGTAGTCCAGGTTGGCTACCATCCCTTGGTGATCCTTCTGCCTCAGTCTCTCATGTGCGGAGATTAGAGATGTGTGCCATCATATCTGGCTAGCTCTGGAAATTTTGAGACAGGGTCTCATGATGCCACTCAATTAGTTGTCCATTCAAATTTGTGAACCTTCTGCCTTAGTCTCCCAGAGTGCTGGAATTACAGATGTGCGCTACCGTATTCAGTTACACTTAAAAGTAAAGAGAAAATATAGAACTGTAGTCATTTCACTTGCAGAATTAGAACTCTGCCTAAAAACCTCAAATGACAGAATATTTCAAAAGATTATCTCACCAGGCACGGTGGCACATGCCTGTAATCCCAGCACTCAGAAAGCTGAGGCAGGAGGATCATTGCAAGTTAAAGACCAGCCTGGGCTACAAAGTGAACTCAAGACCAGCCTGAACTGCATAGCAAGACTGTGTCTCAAAAAGACAAAAAAGATTATCTCAATAACATTAAAAATCTATTGCAGAATTATAGAATAATTTCACATAATAGGCTGTACTTCCACATATAAACAAAGAACTTATATACATGTGCCAACTCCTGAGGAAGAATGTAGTCTTTATGTACTGCAAACATGTACTAACAAAACTTAAAAGAAAAAGAAAAAAGTATTCAAGAAAATAATGTACCAAAAATACTTAGGGGTGTAGCTCAGGACTACGGCATTGTCTAGCATGTACAAGGCCCTTAGTTCCCAGCACCACGAAAAAGCAAACACCAGAAAGTTAGTAAGAAAAATAGCGAAAGTTGATGTACACATTCTTAACATGTTCAAATACTTATAAGACCATACGGAAACACAGAGCTGCATGAAGGGAAGGCCCTCCTGCCTAGGGACAGAGACAGACACACTGGTGACAGGAGCAAGTATGCCCCACCCAGGGCTCTGCGAGTACTCACAGCTGCTAAGGCCAGAATTTGTTGCTGAATGGTTTCCTCATCATTACTGTCCACCCACGGGGGCACGGCTGCTTCTAGAGTTTTCAATGGGAAAGAAGAAAGGAGAAAAGGCCATTAAAATCATTGCATTGCAGTCTCTACTTTCGGAGGAGAGTTTCTACACAACCACTAAAGACTGATTCACCGGTAAGTTCCACATGTGACCCTCCAACGACCCGGCTCAAATGTTGCAGTAGAGAAACTGTACCTTAACCAGGCAAGCAACAGCACCAACAAAGGGGAGGAGGATACTACTGGCCCCCAGATGTGACATTTTTAATATGGGTACCGAGGTGGCATCCTGGCCAAGAATCCATAATTGGAATCTAGTCACAAGGACATAGCAGACAAAGTTCAAATGTAGAAGAGTCTATTAAAAGAGGAGGAGTGGGCCAGGCATGTTGGTGCACACCTATAATCCCAGCACTCAGGAGGCTGAGGCAGGAGGATTGTTGCAAGTTCAAGGCCAGCCTAGGCCACACAGTGAGTCCAAAGCCAACATGAACTTCATGGTGTCTTTAAAATATAATATAATATAATATAATATAATATAATATAATATAATATAATATAGAAGGGGGCATGAGTTGGGTATGGTGGCATACATCTATAATCCCAGCAATTGGAAGGCTGAAGTAGGACTGCTTCATGTTGGAGGACATCCTGGGCAACATAGTTCAAGGTCACCCTGAGCTACCTAGTAAGACCTTGTTTCAAAAAAAAAAAAAAAGGTGGAGGGATGGCAGAGTGGTAGATATGTGCTGGAAACGGTGGTACATACTTGTGATTCCAGCAATTCGGGAGGCTGAGGCAGGAAAATCACAAGTTTGAGCCCAGCCTGGGTAATGAAGGAAGACCCTGTCTCAAAACATAAAATAAAGAGCTAGAGATGTAGTTCAGTGCAAAACCCTTGGGTTCAAGGCCTAGTAATAAAAAAAAAAAAAAAGCATGAGGCAGGAGAATCCAGGAGTTGGTGGTCAACCTAGCAACACAGCAAAACTTCATCTCAAAAACAAGAAAACAAAAACAAAACGAGATTAGGAATGAGAGAAGGAGCTGAATCTGGATGTAGTCGCATAGGCCTATAATCCCACCACTCAGGAGGCTGAGGCAGGAAGACTGCCATGAGTTTGAGGCCAGCCTGGCTACATAGTGAGGGTTGGAAGCTAATCCTCAAGGAGTGGGAGCTAAACATCGGGGATAGTAGGATGTTGTACAGTCAGCCTATGTGTTTGGGGGGACAAAGATCACAGCACTGCAGCTTCATGCCAGATGACACACAGCAGCCCTGGAAAGGGGGTCCCATGACTTCCTGTGCTGACTTGGGAACTCATCCTGATTTAGACAGAGGGGCTGGTGGTGGCCAGGAATGGGCTGGATCCCCTCTCTCAGTGCCTTTTACCCTCAGCTACTGATGCCCTGGGAAGCCCTAGGTACCAATGTGGAGACCATCCTGCCCACCACTCTCTCAGGATGACCAGTACCCTCCTGCAAGGACATTTCTCAGCTCTGTACTAAGGCCAGGCTCCTTATTCAGCAAATGGAGACAGGACAAGCACTTCGCAGGGTTACTGTGTCCAAGATAGGGTCAAAGCCAGGACCTTGGCACATGCGCACACTGGGTGAGCCACTCCACCAACCTGCACCCTAGCCTCTATGGCACCTCTTCTGGTGGTCATGATGGCTAGGACTGGGCCTCTTAGGCCGGCTCACATGGCCATCACTGGGCGCTCCTGAAATTCTCCCCTCCAGCCTGCTATTGTTGCTTTCTCCTGGCTGGTCTTCCTTGGGGGATTATGAACAGTAACTTTTTGCTTATAACATCTTTATTTTCTGAGATAGGATTTCATTATGTAGTTCAGGCTGGCCTTGAACTCAGGGTGATTCTCCTGCCTCAGCCTCCTGAGGGCTGAGATTCCAGATGGGCACTACCACATCCAGCTTCATTCCCTTTCTTTAAACCCTGAGGTTTTACAGCTTTATCTCCCCCACAGACTCCCCAAGTCTCTGTGTTACCCAAAGGAGAGATGTCATGTACACTTTTAGGGGGACCTTGTGTGTACAGAGCAAGTGCTCTTTCACTGAGCTGCACCTCCAGTCCTGTTCACATCTCTGAATTCTCAGAGCTTTCACGTGGATCTAGCACACAATAGTTTCTTGGACAGAATGTGGCAGGTTAGCCAGGTGTGATGGTGCACATGCCTGTAATCCCAGCACTTGGAAGGCTAAGGCCAGAGGATTGCTGAAGGTCAGCCTGAATGGCACAGTGAAAACCTGTCTAGGAAAGTCCAAAAAAAAAAAAAAAAACAAAGAAAGAAAGAAAAGATAACGGGTACCATACCGGATTTCTTTGTATGTTGTTCCTCAACAAATTTTTTCTGCTCCTTCTGAAAGTCTCCTATGATCGTCTGTTAAAGAAAATACATAAAGAATCAATTTACTTTGAAATGTTTACTAGTGAATTTTTTTTGTAGTACCTGGGATCGAACTCATGACCTTGTGCTTGCCAGGCAGGCGTTTAACCACTGAGCTAAATCCTCGGCCTTACTATAGGAATTATATTCAAGGTTTTAAAAGTCTATTTGAGGGGCTGGGGATTTAGCTCAGCGGCATAAGCGCCTGCCTTGTAAGGGGAGCAGGCAGTCGTGAGTTCGATCCCCGGTATCGATAAAAAGGAAAAAGACAAAAAAAAAAGTCTATTTGAAATAATTCATTTTCCTTCAATAAAAAGACTAAAAACATACACATTTCCATTTCCTAATTAAGAGAGATCCTTCAATTTTTTTTTGTTTTTGTTTTTTTTGGTGCCGGGGATTGAACCTAGGACCTTGCACTTGCCAGGCAGGAACTTACGCCACTGAGCTGAATTCCCAGCTTTTTTGTTTGTTTTTTGAGATGAGGTCTCACTATGTAGTACTGGCTGGTCTTGAGCTCATTTTGTAGCCCAGCTGGTCTTGAACTTACAGCAATCCTCCTGCCTCAGCCTCCCGAAGGCTGGGATTACAGGTGTACATCACCACACCCTGCTTTCTTCAATACTTTTGAACTGTAAGTATACTTATGGCATGTACTTCTTCAAATACAAAAATAAAATGAGTGGAAAATTTAACAACAGTTAAACTGTTATATTAGTCCATAAAACAAGGCCAAGTCTCATTCCATTAAGAGTACACACAACAAACATATCTAAATAACAATATATTAGGGCCAGGGATTTAGCTCAGCAGCATAAGTGCCTGCCTGCAAAAGTGAGGTCATAAATTCCATCTCTGGTACTAAAAACAAAACAATATATCTAAGGCTTATTTAATGACCTCTTTAGTTCAAATAGTTACTAGTATCAGTGAAATTCCCTAGGCCTGAACTTTAGCACTAGAAAAAAAATGAGCAAAGGATGATGCTATACACCTGTAATCCCAGCTACTCAGAAGGCTGAGTGAGGCAGGAGGATCACAAATTCAAGGTCAGCCTGGGCAACTTGGTGAGCTACTATCTCAAAATAAAAATTTTATATAGGCTAAGGGTGTAGCTCAGTGGCATAGCACCTTAGGATTTGATCTCCAGTACCACATTACAAAAAATTACAAAATCAGAATACTATGAGATCCTACTAGGGTTTTATTTATTTATATATTTTTTTGTACCAGGAATCTAACTCATGACCTCGTGCTTGCCAAGCAGGCACTATACCACTGAGCTGTATCCCTAGCCTATTTGAATTTTAAGATGTTCACAGCGTGGTGTGATGGTACACACGTATAATCTCAGCACATGGGAGGCTGGGGCAGGAGGGTACCAGTAAGTTTGAGGCCACTCTGAATTAACTTAGTGAGTCCCTATCTAAATAAATACTGGACCAGGGATTTAGCTCAGTGTTGTAAGCGCCTGCCTGGCAAGGTTAAGGTCATGAGTTTAATCCCATACCAAATAAATACATAAATAAATACTAAACTGGGAATTGTGGCACACTCCTATAATCCCAGCACTTGGCAGGCTGAGGCAGGCGGATCATTGCAAGCTCAAAATCAGTCTGGGCTACAAAATAAGCCCAAGGCCAGCCTGAACTGCAGAGTGGGACCCTGTCTCAAAAAGACAAAAAAACAAAAACAAAATTCACAAGCAGGAATGATTGTATTAGCTGCTAGTGAATTTCATAAATTTCTACTTCCAAAAGGTAGTAATATTTAGCTGGGCACTGTAGTGCCCACCTGTAATTCCAGCACTCGTGAGGCTGAGGCAGGAGGATATAGGTCCTGGGCTACAAAGTGAGCCCAAGACTAGCCTGAACTGCATAAGGAGACCCTGTCTCAAAAAGACAAAAAAATAGTAACATTTTACTTTTTAAACTTATATTTGCAGTATACAATGATTAAATTCATCATGTCAAGTTGTTATTCATACATAATAGACCTTAGTTCTTTTCCTCCCCAAAAGATATTTAAATTTACCTTATCAATGATGTCATCTATTTTGCCTTCTTCTACGGATTTCTTTATCGTCTGTGCTGTTTCAGCAACTGACTCAGTTATCTTTTTGGTGGCAGCACTCGCAAAGTTAAAGAGATAGTCTGCAAAGGATAAAGAGTGTGTTTCATTCGGGCAGTGAGGTACCATGGTTACCCCACCCTCACCAGTTCTGGGGATCTCTTCCAGGACCGCCTGGGATCTCAGCGTCTGCAGACTTGTAAGTCCCAGGTAAGAAGTGGGTGGTATGTGCATGTAATTCCGGGTGCCCTCCCTCCTGTTACACTCACATCATTTCTAAAGCCTTGTCAGTGTTTATGCCAGGGGAAACACTGTATAAGTGTTTGTTATGCTACGTTGTTTCAGGATACAGAGGAAATTTCAGGAAATTTGTGATTTCCTTTCCCTTAAATAGGTCCTACAAAAAAATCCAAAAGGAGAGGGCAGATTCCCTGTGCCAAGGACTTGAGGTGAAGAAAGAGAAGCAGTGGCAGGGCTTTCTGTGTGCCCTGCCAGCTTCCTGGGCCTCTATACCTCTCTTCCAGGTCATAAGCTGGCCAAGCCCTCCCAGCTGTTTCTAACTCCCCTGCTGTGGAGTTCCAGTTCTCACTTATCTCAGTAGGCAATCTCCCCTCCTACTTTACAAATAAGAACAAGGCTCCTTTATACTTTTTTCCTTTCTAGAGTCCAGGGAACCCACCTATATTTTCTTCATCCTCCTCCTGTTCAAACAACCTCCCTCCCTTTCCAGATTACCGGGCCCCACAACAGATCTGGGGGAATTTTGAATCCAGAAGTCTTGGCAAGCCTTCTGAGAAAGATAAAGCCTTCTGAACTAATAATAATGAGCAGATCTGTGGAACAGGATTAAAAATGGAGAGCCCAAACATTCATCTTCATAAACCAAACCACAAACTTAGCATTCTTATTTTAATTTTTAAAAAATAAATTGCATTTAGGGGGCTGGGGATTTAGCTCAGTGGCATAAGTGCCTGCCTTGCAAGCAGGCAGTCGTGAGTTCGATCCCTGGTCAGATAAAAAGGAAAAAAGACAAATAAGTAAATAAATAAATAAATTGCATTTAAAAAATAATTTTTTGTTTTAGCTTTCTTAGGGCCTTGAGCGATGTTCGTGTCCCATTATCTACTGCACTGTAACATAGAGGCTCAGGGTTACCCAGGCCATCGGAAGCCCACACTCGAAGCACCTAGGTTCCAGACTGGAAGCATGTCTAGAGCCAGCTGCTAGGCTCTCCCTGACAACTCCCATCTCCCCAGAAACAAACTCACCTTGGGGAAGTCTAGGGAAATCTAGTCTCTGTGGCTGGGTACAGAATGATGCTGAGAGTGTCAGTGGACCCTGGCACACCTGCTACATCCTCACTCTGTGCATGGTATCACTTCCAGGAGTCAGAATGAGAGAACCTGCACCAGCATCGGGATGCCCGCTCTCTAGCTGTCCACAGCCTTTACCAGAAAACTGCCTACTTACACTATGATAACTCCCATTTGCACTACCATGTCCGGCTTGTGTTTATGTTTTTTCTTATTTTCTTTTGTTGAGACAAGATCTACGTAGTTTAGACTGACTTTGAATTCACTATATAGCCCAACTTAAGCCCCCTCAAATATCAAAAGAGAACTTGTTGAGGAAATGAAGGAGGCAGTAATAGCATCAAGGTAGACATTCACATTAAAAACACATTTGTCTTTCTTTTCTTTTTTTTTTGTACTGGGGATCAAACTCATGACCTTGCACTTGCTAGGCAGGTGCTTATGCTGCTGAGCTAAATCTCCAGCATATTTGTCTTTCTTTTGTGTGATACTGTGGATACAACCCAGGGCTGCAGGCATGCTGCTAGGCAAGTGCTCTAAGAAATACTGGGCCACACTCCCAGTCACACAAAATCATGTATTAGCAAACAATTCAGAGGTATTTACTGCTAAATACAAACCAAGTTTCTTTTTATTGGGTGGGGGGGGGCTTTTTTTCTTGTTTTTTTTTTGAGACAGGGTTTCCTTATGTAGTTCAGGCTAGCATTGAACTCACTATACAGTCCAAGGGCAGCTTCAAACTCAATCTCCTGCCTCCTGAGGACTGAGATTATTGGCATGCACCATCACATCTGGCTCAATTCTCAATTTTAAGAAATCGTTAAAATGTTAGAAATGGCTATTTTCTTTGAAATCAAGGAAACAGTCTTAACTTTATCCCATTTTTATTTATCCCAACTACTTAATGCCACCTCCAGGACTTAAGAGTTATTTTTCTTATGTAGGATTTGGGAGCCTTGGTCTGAGATAATTCAGTCAGAATTTGAGACTGTTTAATGTCCTTACCCATCTACCCATAGTAAACATTTTGAAAAGGTCTTTCTTAATAGAAATATGTGCTTTTCTTCTCTACTCCTCTTCTCCATTTAATATATCCTTAAAGAAAGCTTTCTACATTTAACATTCAGTTCTGTAGTTCTCTCCCTTTTAATGCCAGTCAGCTTTAGGGCTTAACTCTTCAGACACTTGTACTATTTAAACCTGCTGAAGTTTTCCTGGAATCAGAATTATTATGGCATGTCTAGATTCTTCCTGCCTACGGCCCCCACCAGACTGTAAACTTGAAAAGAGCTTCAAAATTAAGATAGATCTAGGCGCAAATCCAACTTCTACAACTTATCATTTTGGCCCAGTAACTCTGAGCTTCTCTTTTTCAGTACTTGGGCTAGGACACAGGGGCTATCACTGAGTTGCATCCCCCATCCCTTTTTATTTTTTACTTGATCAAGACAGGGACTTGCTAGGTTGCTCTAGTGGAACTCAAACTTGCCACCCCCTGCTGCAGCCTGCCTCAGGGCTGGGACTACAGGCGGAGCTTGGCTCTCCCTGGGAGTGTTTAACAGGCAGAGTTCCTATGACATCTACTACTCAGATGTGCACAAACAAGGCAACCGCTGTTGTTTTCCCACCCTTAGTCCCACTGCACCTAAAAGACAAGACTGAGGGTTTAGTGAATGTCAGTACACTCTGGATAACACGCCTTCAGGGCAAAAGGGCACTTTTTCCAGCAACTCAAGCTCATCAAGGATTGCAGATGAAAGTAAAGGTAAAAAACCGGCGACTGAACTAAACAGATTATTGGTTGAACACGAAGACGCCGTATCAGGCTGCTTTAATAGCAGCCCCGCTTCCAATGTGTACCAACTTTGCAGAACGGCATGCCAGCTGAACTTAGGGATGCAGGCCTGTAACCCTAGCATTCGGGAGGCTGAGGCAGATCGTTGAGAATTCGAGACCACCTTGGGCTGCATAGCGAGACCTTCACAAACAAAGAGACAAACGAATGGTAACACAGAAAACAAAGTGGCCCACCACCAGGAACTGCAAAGGGATAGGATCTGACTGCAGGATGACACGCTTTCCTCCCCTGTTCCTTACTCCGGTAGCCAGCCGGCTGCACCCCTGGGGCACCGCCCACCATCGGCTCCCACCCAGCGGCCAGTCAGACTCACTGCCGAGGTCTCTGGCCTGGTGGAGAAGTTCCAGGTCCTCGGGCTGCTGCTCCTTCGTGGGCTGTGCTGCCACCTCCGAGTGCTGCTCAGGCGGAGGGTCTCCAGCTGACGCCTCGCCGTCAGTCCCTGGCGACTGCAGGCCAAGCCAACTACTTAACCCTCGGAACATCCCGCCCGCGGGGCCGCCTTCGCGGTCCCGCTCCCGGAGACCCCCACAAACGCTGTCTGTAAGGGCCCCGGGACTCCGCGCCTCTCGGGATGATAGCCGGAAGCCGAGGTAGTTGCCAAACGGATGTCAGGACTCTCATTGTGAGCCCGCCCTCCGCGTGCGTCACTTCTGGAAAAAGCCCCGCCCCTTGCTCGTGTCAAAGGTGAGTCTTAAGCAAGGAGGCAAAAGGCGTTCTCTGCGTAGCCCCGCCCCTCCCCGCCCTCCCTGCCTCGCCCCTTTCTCCTTTCCCAGGCTTTGTGACTGATTTGAACATGCGCATGCCAGCTTTGTGGTAGCACTAGTCTCTCTTTTGCTGTTTTTTTAATTTTAATTTTTGTTTGTGTGTGCCAGGGATCGAACGCATGACCTCGCGTTTGTCAAGCAGGCACTAACGCCGCTGATCTAAACCCCTGGCCCCATTAATTTTAATTTTTATAAATACACGTTTGTAGTATATAATGTTTACATTCTTGGTGGGGGAAAACCATGTGATATTTAAACTTGTATCTATTTCCCTTAACATTATGGTCATTTTATAATTGCCATTTAGCAGCTTGGCTGGTGATTTAGCCTTTGCAGGTCCAGCGGTGCGAGGTCCGCGCTGAAATAGGTATCTGAGCCTACGCCTGAACCCGGTTCAAAACTAATAGGGGCATTTCGGTCAGTTTTTTGAAAGGCACATTATGGGGGCTGTATAACACCCTTTATTTTTTAGGAGTATTTCTTTTTTTTTTTTTTTTTTAGTATTTCGATTGATGAACTATTAATTTTTTGAGTTTTATATTAATGTACACTTAACAGGAAAATAAAATATCAATAGAATATTAACTTTTAAATATGTAATGAATGTTTAAACATCGACATTTTCGACATCAATTGGCTATGTGCTTACAAAACCTAAAAAATAACAGCCACTATATCTGGCTCTGCAGGACATACTTGCCTCCTCTCTTATCAGGAGCTTCTTATTATATTATACAGTGTGCACTTAGCAGAAATAAATTCCTATGTGAGCCAGGCACGGTGGCACATGCCTGTAGTGCCACCAGCCTCCAGCCTCTGGAGGCCGAGGCTGGAGGATTGCCAAGAGTTTGAGGCCAGCCTGGGCTACATAGTGAGTTGAAAGCCATCTCTCTTTTTTTTTTTTTTTTTTGGTATGGGCACATTTGTGACCTCACACTTACCAGGCAGGAGCTTATGCGGTGAGTTAAATCCCCATCCCTAAAGCCATCTTGAACTACATGCATAGCAAGACCTTATCTCAAAAAAAAAATCCAAATAAGGGGCTGGGGATTTAGCTCAGCGGCATAAGTGCCTGCCTTGCAAATGTGCGCTGGAGAGTTTGATCCCTGGTACTGATAAAAACGAAAAAGACAAAGAAAAAAAATCCAAATAAATATAAATAAAACTCTACCACAGAAATAATCTTTGGTTCAATCATCACACTTAAGGCAGGCTTCACACATGATAATATATTTCATACACAAGTCTGGCTTATACTGACAGCACATTTGTTTAGTTTTTCTTTCCTGTTTGGCAAGCCCTACTGTGTGTGTGTGTGTGTGTGTGTAACAGAGTCTCCTTCTGCAATTCAGGCTGGATTTGAACTCTATGTGGCACAGGCTGGCCTCAAACTCATGACAAACCTCCTGCCTCAGCCTTTGAAATGCTGGGGTTATAGACGTGTTCCAGCCACCACACCCAGGTCTGCAGGACATACTTACCACTTCTCTTGTCTTCCTCTTTTGTCAGGAGCTTCCTATTATATTATACAATGTTCATTTAGCAGGAAAATAAAATATAAACTAAAATATCAATTATGTAATGAGTATTTAGAATAAACATCAACATTTTCAACATCAACTTGCTTGTTAAATCTAAAAAATAACAGCAGAAGTAAATTCCTATATGATCTACAATGAGAACACAAATAAACCTCTACCACAGAAATACTCTTTGGTTCAATTGTCACTCTTAAGGCAGCCTTCACACATGACAAAGCATGTTCCATACGTAAGTCTCGCTGACAGCATGTGTGCTTAGCTTTCCTTTCCTGTTTCAGGGACCATACATGTTACCTCTCGTGTTCACCTTTTGCCAGGAGCTTCCTATTATACTATCCAGTATGAAATTTGCAGGAAAATGAAATATGAATAAAATAAAATATCAAACTGAGTGTTTAGAATAAACATTTTCTACATTAACTGCTTATTAAATCTACAAAATAGCAACAGAAATAAATTCCTGTGTGAACTACAACAAGAATACAAGTAAAACCCTACTACAAAAAACAATCTTCACTTCAGTTAGCACATGTAAGGCAGTTTTCCCACATGAGAACAGCATGTTCCATACACAAGTATCACTTACACTGGTGGCACATATGTCATGTTTCCCTGCTTCTTGGTAGGCCATACTGGACATCTTGCTGGTCTTCCTGTTTTCTTGTGTGGTTCTTGTGATGTTGCACTTGTCTGTTCACCTGTCTGATCTGTTCCAGAATTCTTTTGCGGAGTTCTTTGGGCAGATACATACTATTCTTCTGTTGTAATTGATCATTTATCAATTCTAGTCCCAAGCCTCTAAGAAAATTTCTCCACAATATTTTGTGCTTGTCATTTTTTTGTAAACTGTGAAACTATTTAAGTCTGACATGTTTAGGGTGAAGTAAAACACAACCATTGGCCAATGCTTTGTGTTTTGAGTGACATCATAGCTGCTGCATAATTCATCAACATTTACGTCACCTTTCGTTTTGTTGTGAAATGTGATCACTTCTGGCTTCATTTCTGTTGAGGATTCACCATTTTTTTAGTTTTTTTTTTTTTTTTTTTGAGATGGTCTTGCTATGTAGTCCAGGCTACCCTTGAACTCACTATGTAGCATAGCCCGATCTTAAACTCACAAGATCCTCCTACTTCAGCCTCCTGAGTACTTGGATTATAAAAGTACATCACCATGCCCGGCTTCGCTGTCAGTCTTATCATGATAGAGTAATGCTGACAATAGCAATACTAATTTGTTTTTCTTTGCCATATAGGAGACTGATGTAGTCAGTTTGCAAAGAGAACAAGACATTATAGGACACATAATCTACAGAATTATTTTATAATAGTCACCCAAAGAGTTAAATACAAGATATGCAGGAAATCTGTCCACACACTAAGACCCAAAAATCCAGCTGAGGGACAGGATCCCACAACAATGTACTGCATGAGTCCAGTTGAAGACCTTAAGCCCATGACAATGCTCCCAACGAGTCCAACTGGAGGCTTAGAGCCCCTGACAATGTTTTGTGCAAGTCTGTTTCATGGATCTGCTCTGGGAGGGCCCAAAGGTCAGTGGTGGAAGCCAAAAAGTTTGTGTCAGTGGGATTAGGGATCTGTACCAGCAGGCTGAGGGATCTGCATTGGAGCCAAGAAACAATGCTCAAAATAAGAACAGGGCTCCTCCGAAAATCACCACAGCCATCCTCAACAACCACAAGGTCCCAAGCTCCTCTGACAAAGCTCCTCTGAGAACAGCCAAGTTCATATCAGCATGACAAGCTTCTCTTGGAGATTGAACAGTACACATTTTCCCCTCCAGAGCCAGGATATGACGCTCAAAGTAAGGATCAGAGCTCCCCCAAAGGGAACCACAGCCATTTGCAGTGACAACAAGGTCCCAAGATCCTCTGATAATGAGAACAGCCAAGTTCGTAGCAGGGAAGAGACTCAACAAGCTCCTCCAGGAGAACCTATGGCAGCAGGAGAACCAACACCACAGAGAAACAACAAAGCTAAACTCTTCCTTTCCACTTTTCCTTTTTGTCTTGGCAACAATCCTCAGGTGGGCCATCCATCCTCAGAACCATGCTGATTCAGTTCAGCTGGTTGTTACAAGTTGCCCATCAGTTATCAATTTACCATGGAGGCCAATGTTATGTCCTTCTGAAATCTGAGGATTGTGCTATACATTTTGTATTATGAATTTGCAACAATTTTTTTCAGGAATTTCCACTTGTTCTTGCAAATAGTTACTCTGCTGGTGAACTGGTGTTTCTTTTAGCAAATGCAACATCAATGGGTAACTCATGAACCAACTGTTATTTTGAAATAGATGCAACAAGTCTATCTATAATGTTACATGGTTTATTACTGCATGAATGAAGACCTGGCAGCTGAGTTTCAGAATAAATTTCTAAATTCAAGATGTAAAATGTCTTTGCATCTATCAGGGCATATATTTTTACACCATAGTTGGAAGGTTTATTTGATATATATTGCCAAAAGTTTCAACAACTGCTAGATGATGCAAATTGTCTATCAACTGTCATGTATTCAGACAGTATATAAATTGTTTGACAGTTCAAAAGAAAGTTTTCAAAAAATGAGCAAATAGGAGCTGGGGATTTAGCTCAGTGGCATAGGTGCCTGCTTTGCAAGTGCATTGTCATGAGTTCGATCCCCTGTACCAATAAAAAAAATGAGCAAATATCAGACAAAGGATTGGATTTTTTTCCTTTTTTCTGTTTATGTGGGTCTCTCTCTCTCTTTTTTTTTTTTTTTTGTCTTTTTCCTTTTTATCGGTACCAGGGATTGAACTCACGACTGCCTGCTTGCAAGGCAGGCGCTTATGCCGCTGAGCTAAATCCCCAGCCCCTTATGTGGGTCTTTTTGTCATTAAAACATAAGTAATTTTAAAAGAAACTAAATCTCTTGAGTGTCATTATTGTTCTAAAAACCTCAGTGCCACATCTGTCACATCTCCATAAAACCTTTCCATTCTGATGATTAGAATGACAAAGTCCTGCTATGAAAGCTTTTAATTCAGCCACTGAGGTGCCATGATAAATATATCTTTGAGTATCACTATTGATGCATGTTTCCTGTCGATTTCCATTATTAGTATATTTCAAAACATCATGTAGCATACTGTCTGTTACAATTTCCAAAACGGAATCAGTGTGCTAGCATTCTGTCCAATAGGCATCACCCTGGCGAGAACCTAATAACATTTTCTGACCTAGTTAATTAGATTGTTCAGGTATACATAAGTATTTTGTAGCATTTTAACTAGTCAAATATTTATTTACAACACTTTTTCTGTCT